GCATGCCCCCCCCCGGATCCGCCTTGTCCGCTGTTCGTCTTCAAATATGAAGCACAAGCTCTGTTTGCGCGCAGGGTTCCACTCAGCATGCCACTTAGATTCCCTTGAATATTTTCTTGAAATGGCGATAGTAGTATTTGCTGAATACTTTGAAAGTGTTTGGTCAGTTGGTACAGAAATAATAATAAAAAAAATATGGGACATAATTCGGTTAACAAACAAATGGGGGATGATGCTAGTAGTCAAACCGGTGCGCTGATTTCCAATCCGGAACATAATTATTTGTGTAACGACCGTACCTTGACTGCGGTGTCCACCTGATTTCCGCCACTACTTCCTTGGTATGAGATTGATTGTCCTTGATCATGCAGAAAATGTATGTTCATTGTGATGCCTACAATTTCAAATGCAAGCAATTCAAAAAAGAAAACATAGGATTATTTGCTTTTGATTTTTTTTTCGTGAGAAGCAACAAAATGGCTTTAAAAACTTAAGAAGGTCGCAACTAAACTGTTGAAGTTTCAGCTCAGTGGATTCTATCATTAAGAAAAAGCAGAGAAAACGTATGCACTATTTTGTTGGATCTCTTTTTTGATTCCGTGCTTTATAACACCTTAACTATTTTTTTTTAATTTTAAAAACACCTGCAAAGTTTTCAACCGATATATCAGGCGAAATACTTTCACCGGGTATTTGATACCAGTCTTATCTTCACTCTCAGCATTGCAAGGTTTCTGTCATTAAATGTACTTTTCCGGGCAATTGCAAATGATCCTACGTGGCCATAAATTCTTTTTGCATACAGATTTCTCTCAGAAAATCTGGGCATTTGTTTTGGTAGTTACTGCGTTTGATTCGAAAATATTAAATCCTTCAAAGAAGACTTGAATATTGTTGCTCGTGCGTGGGTCTGTTCATGGCCGTTGCATGCAGGACGCATTCCGCTTAAAAATATATTATCAATCCAGATCGCATTTCGCCCGACAGAGAGTTTGATCTGGGAGTGTTTTATTTGTGAAATTCAGCTATGCCTCCCCCAACAGCCCACAAGATATCTCCCAGCGGATTTTCAATGACTCATTTTCGTTGGTATTATTTGCAGCTCGCAATCTGCTGAGTGTTGAGGATTCCCTTCGTGATAGAATTCAAGAACGTTACATCGAGGTGAGTGTCTGTTATTTGACATTTTCCTGACTAAATCATCAGAACAGAGCAGTGATTTTGGTGGAAGACTGTATTTTTTCCATATATTTATACACCTTTTGGTCAAAATTTATAACAGAAAACATCGCTCAAGTGATAGGGCCTATACAGGGTGAGTCAAAAAAGCGAACCCTAATGTCGGGACCATAATAGTGAAGTTCTGCATGTAGCCCTTTCAAAATCTAGGATATAAAAGCCCAATTCATAGGCTTTTGTTTAGTACAATAATCATTCAAATCACTCATGTACGTTTAGAACATGAGGTTAAGGAATTTTAAACACAACCACCGTTTTAAAGTTCTGTCCACGGATCACGAGAAAGTAAGTGTTCTTTCAGCAAAACGAAAACAAATCACATATGCGTGAATTGTTTTCGTTTTGCTAAAAGAACGCACACCTTTTTGTGATCCGGTTGTGTTTAAAATTGCGTAACTTGAAAAGTACATGAGTGATTTGAATGATTCTTGTACTAAAAGAAAGCTTATAAATTGGGCTTTTATATCCTTGATTTTCAAAGTACTACATGCAGAACTTCAATTAAACAATAGTCCCGACATTTGGGTTTCGCTTTTATTTTTACTCACCCTGTAGTAGTGAGGAATTCCCTCCTCTAACACGCACCGTAGAACTGTGCCTAACATTTTGGCCTGCAGTCTTTGCAAATTCCTCGTCAAATTCATCAATGTGCCCCGAACTAATGGCGGACACACGCTCAAATTTCCTTTCACATTTTTATTGAAATATTAGTTTGTCAAAAAAAGAGAACTAAGATGGAAACAAATGTTTAGTTATTGTGTAATCAGATTCTTTGGCATTTATCTTCTTTTTGTATCCTTGTTCATCGTGTTCGCATTTTTTTAAATCAAAATTGTGTTCGCAACCATTGTCCTCATTCTTTCGTGATCGTTGATCACATTGTAATTCGTTTGTGATTGTTTATCACGTTAGGGAATCATCATAGCATAGGTTTTCCCGTCCAATTTTGCAAGTTGTTTATGCAATCAGACAGACTGTTCATTACATTTCAAAAAGTGGCAGTTAACGCATTCGATTTTATTTGAATATTTACACCCAGCAAAGAGTGTAGGCAACTTTTTCGTGCAAAAGAAAATCCATTTCTTTTGTTGGTTTTCGATTTTGCACTGAGTATAGGCGAATCTGTAAGAGGAAGTTTTCATTTTCAACGAATGTGCAATGGAATAAATCGCCAATCGTACTGGCCAAAAAAAAAAAATATGATTTTTAATTTTTGCAACAATTAACAAACTGGTCACTTAATTATCCTTACATAAAAACCTGTATTTTGACATAGTATTTTATCGGCGAGTGTTCTAAATGTGTTTCCTTCTATCACTTTGACACTTTACATTGATACAGTTCTGTTCTGCTTTTTTCATATTCCCTTCCCAGGCATTCCAATCTTTGAAATAGCTGTACATTCCTTAATCCAAACTTTTCAAAAGCCATGTCATTTTATAGGACTCTGTTTTATCACTATAACACAATATCTTGCTAATCCAACTGCCAAATATTATTGAACCGTGCTACTTTTGTAAACGTATGCATCAAAGTGAATTCCCGAGCGGGACTGAAATTTAAAGCACAAGAAATTCAATGCACAAGTCACGTAATTTGCTGCTTACTTTTCACGCGTGAATGAAGAATACCCTGAAACATGTTGAGCTTTCGCTAAATTCAACCGGGTGTGAAAAGGTCTGCATGTTTTATGCGATTTTGAATAAAAATGTTTTATTATTATTATTAGCAAAGTATGAAATTGGGCGGGAAACCCTATAATATTTCATAGTGAATGAAAAAAGTTCATTTCTACTTTAAAACTCATAGTGAACTGGAGTTAAAAGTACATTTGCCTGGACAAGTGCAACGAAAGCTTAGAATGCCAACAGACTTTTGACCGAGTTACTAGTGTCTCAAAAAAAGATACATGCCTTCACAAATATTAATTTGAAAAAAAAAATCGTTTCAATAATAACGTGTAAACAAATTGAAAGCTTATTCACGAATCAGTCAATTCGAGAGAAATTGAACAATGCGCGACATTTAAAACAGGTTGTTTTTCTTGACGAATTCGGCCGAGGAAACTACTATTTTAATTACTTACCCTAATAACTTTGTGAGTATCCTGTTTTTGTGAGTGGCAAATGGATCCAATGAGAAAAAAAATCTCACTCATTTATCTTATAAATGATAATAAAATAGTAACTTAACCAGTATTCGTTTGTATGTTTTTTTTCAGCCTACACTGAATTCCTTGTGATCTCTTCTTGGACCTGATCTTCAAGAACGAACCATCGAGGTGGGTGTGGTGAGGTTTAATTAATGATTCTATCAGGACCGGGGAAGGGGCAAGAGTAATCCGTCCCCCCCCCCCCCCCCCCCCCAAAAAAAAAAATACTACAGCTCCGGACGCTTCGCCCTATCGGAATGCTTTTGGTGACCTTTCTAACTCTTATTGGCGGGCGGGCGAAATAAAAAAAATCGATTCGATGGTTGCCATGACAACCGTTTTATACAACTAGGCTTCTCATAAATGTTTAGCCCCTTGATCCATCATACGCCACTGTTTATATACAAAGAAAACATTCTTCGAACAATGATTCCTCCAATCTCATTATTTTTTGGTTTTTTTCTTTCAAATCTGACGGCGGATTGTCATGCATTTTAGATTAGTTCTCCTGTTTATCAAACCTCAATATTTTTCTCTACTCTTCCCGTTTTTAAAAACTATTTTATTTAAAAAAAATCTCACCTGATTTGTTTTCAGTTTAATCGTTGTTATTCTGTACAGAATGAAGATCTTCGTGGCAACCGTTTATTCCAATCGCCCTCCTTCTGGGTAACTCCGTCAACCTCCGAGCTTCCGTTACTGGCCGGTTGCCTCGGACGGTGATGGTCCTGCGTATAGCGGGCCAAACGTGCTGCCAGGAAACAGCTGCAATTGTCGGAATTTTACAAGGGTCAAAGGGTGATGCAGGTCAAAAAGGAGAGCCGGGTGACGACGGCAAAGGCCCTGCCGGGCAAGATGGGACCAAGAGGTTTAGTTGGGCCAACAGGGAAACTGGTGTCAAAGGTCAAAAGGGCGAATCGGCCCCCGGGGTCAGCGGGGAGCACGTGGTGTCCAAGGTCAGTTGGGGCTCCAAGGTCGTACTGGTATTGCAGGCGAGCCAGGGCTTATCGGACCGATTGGCCCTCAAGGTGACACTGGGCCTAAAGGTTCAGTCGGGCGAACCGGTC